CTCCTCCTCCTCCTCCTCCTCCTCCTCCTCCTCCTTCCTTTCCCTTCTGGGAGCTCAATGACACCTAACCAGTCACCGAGGTTGATTTCATTTACTCACTTGCCACTTAAAGATTGTTACTATTATTATTATTCGTTCCACCGAAAACAAAACAGTTCTGCCTAATAAAGGAGCGGTTAAAATGACTTCACAAGGGCAACATGCAACGAAAGTGGCAGAATTTTTTGTGCTGACAGCAAGAGAAGGCATTATTACAGATAAGTTGTTTATTCATCTCGACGTCAGTTATGTTTCCTTTTGTGGCTGTGCAGCTGCTTATAACTTTTACAGTGATGGTTGTTAACCTCTCCCAGGAATGGAGATATCTATTACTTTATCATTGCTAATGTGAATCTTTTTTTATTTACTGAAGATATCTTTTGGTGGCTATGCCATGTGACCGCCCACTAGGGAAATTCACTTTTCAGAAGAGCAAAAAATGCGTCACCCTCGGATAAACACTCCTTCCCATTCAGTCGAAGTATTGTTTAGAAAATCAGGTTGATTACATCCACCCACATACATACGCAAGTGCCAGTCTTTTCAGTTTGTTATTCATGAAGTGGTATTTATGTGTGGGAGCTCGATTTTTGTCGAATTTTTTTGACCTTTGAGTGTAACCTGACATCGCAGGTTATATGGGTGATGTGTGGAGGGTGTTGAGTACGTGTCCAAGTGACTGTAGGGCGAATGCTGCTGAAGGGAACAGAAAGGTCCTTAAGGTTGATTTCATTTACTCACCTATCACTTAAAGTTCCTTCTTCTTATTTTTCATTCTACTAAAAAAAAGCAAATATATTTATATATGACCAATTAAAATGATTTTACAGGGGCATTTTGTAACAAAAGTGGCAGGATTTATGTGCTAATGATAAGAAAAGCTGCTACTACACATTCTAATTATTATTTTTATCATCATTATTTATATTATTATAGATTACGCCCGTGCCAAACACTATCACTTATCTCATTACCTGCATTCATCTTCCTTCTCTCCCATCCCCTCCTCCATCTCCTCCTCCTTATCATTATTGCCATCCTTAGGCGGTCACACTTCATATTTGACTTCATTTCCCATTCACATTAGCCACTTACCAGCCTACCACTAAGAGGAGTTGCTTCAGCAAAACAACTCTACATGCCAAAGCTCCATCACCTTATATAGCAATATCCCCTCACTTTATCAACATTCCAGTCATCAACAAAGGCCATGCAGGTCGCTCCTGCTTCTTCTATCCACATATTTCAATGCCTTTTTATCAATATTTCACCATTTTAATTACCTTCTTCTAAATTATTCCCCCTTAAAATAAGTGTTTACCATTCAACTCTACTTTTTTTACGTTATTTTCTACTCATTTTACTTTATATTTAAAATATAACCCATTCCTTTTTTTTTAATGTTTTGCTTTTCGATTTCTTCCCATGCATCTATATATATATATATAACTATTTAATTAAAAAGTCTTGAAGCTCATGCTTTCTTCACACCTACTCATGTGCTAGTCTGCCTGTCTTGTAGCCACCTTTCAGTGTTTTTTTTTAAATCTAGCCAGTTAGTAAAACGTGTGATTAAAATGGCTGGTTCTGCTCTTCCGCCAGGTGTGAACGAAGTACCAGCCGTCGTGCACTCGTCGAAGCGGAGACCTCTTTTTCCTTCTCTCAACTGTTCACTGCTTCATTGCTAGGAGGAGTAAGGATGGATCGTAGCAATTGGCTACTCCCACGCCTACACAACGATGCCTAGGTTGTCATCGTCTTTTCTTTCATCCAACCTTAAATCTTATCCCATCATTATTTCTAATTAAGCCAAAAAGTTAGCAAAGTACTTGGCTTTTTTAAACAAATGATGCTTTTTCAGCCAGAATTTAGATGTTAATAAGATCAGCAACAAACTGGCCACAACGATGATCTAAAGTGACCATTAATAGAATTCTTTATCATAACACATGTAGACGATTCTCTTTTGATCCTATAACCACAACTGTGGCACAAGTTATTTTCTACGATTTTCAACACTCCGTTAGGCAAAACTGATGCCCAACTGCTCCAGTACAAGCACATTTACACCCATTTGCTCAAATTTATTTAAATGTGTATGTAAACATACACTTTATGCATATGCCCATTTATATTATTTAAAAACATTTATGTTACAGATTTGATTGACTTTTTCAATAATTACAGATTAATAAGTGTTTATGGTGTCAGTATCGGGTCGACTATATTTCCCCAATTGTTTTTGTTGGGATTCTTTGCTACTACTACTAATTTACTCTTCTGCCGATGACTTCTCTACATAACCTTCCACATCCATGAACTAAGCCAATATTGATTACAAGGTCATTGCGCGTCTGTGTGAACAACTTCTTACAAACTCCTTTGTGCATTCTGTAGGAAAGGATACCTTCTACGAGAGGAGTAAAATACGAGGTCTAGCTGATTCTGAGGTTACAACTGAGTGCAATGAGTGACAAACATAACAGATGCCCATTCTTGTACACCCCTTGCTATATTGCTGTTTGTGATAATTCACCTCGAACAAATCAATCCGGCGGTCATTGGATAGCATCCGTGGATACTCACTTGGCAAAAAATGCTATAGTTTGCCATTTGATGACTTGAACTTATCCCTAGTTTACCATTAAATATGACCATGCCAAAATAACAGCAAAAAGTGCAATTTCATGTTCAATATCGCAGACCATGTAAAGTCGGCGATCTTGTAACAATATGCTACGTCAGCTTGACTTAAGTGCGGATGTGTACTGTCAAGTAGCACGAGTCAAACACCTTTCCGCGTGGCTGTTGTGAGGGAATGGAAATTAGCAGGCGAGTGAAGAGTGATGGGGAGAAGCTGAAGCAACTATCGACCCCTAAGGTGCCACTTCTACTGACCACTTATAAGTAAAAGGCGCCACGTTAGAAATTCAAAAGCTCTAGTTTGACGTGAGCATCCCCCACAAATTCAAGACGAAGCAGGATTGCACACACATCGCATCCCTTTCCAATTAGCAATCTTAAGTCCAAAAGCGGCGTAAATAAGTTAATGCTACACACCGATCGGGTGAATCCTGATGTAGTATTGCTTGCAAGATGCGTTTATAGCTAAAACGCAAGAATTACCCTGGGACAAGCACCATTTAAGTGTATGTTTCACGTGCTTTATCTTCAGATTGAATGTTTCCTCATCAGGATTGTAACCTGATAAACAACAAAATCAAGAGACTAAATATCACATTTTATTGGTTTGAGTAACATGGTCTAGAAGGGAGAGGAAATAGGTAGGTAGGTAGGTAGGTGTTGAGAGGATACAGAAGCTGAGCATTCGAAAGAAAGGGCGATGGTAGACTGATAAAGGAGAATTTACAAAGGGTAGGAGAGAGTCCAATGGGAGGCATGGAGAGACACAAATGCAAATGGCGGAATGAGAGAGCGGAGGAGGTCTTATCGTACATATGATGATATATATTCAAGCACGGCCTTGTAGCAGAACTGCAACTGATCCGGTGACTGAATCATTCCAGGACGCTGAGTTCGCAGAAGACGTACGGTCTGCAGAATGTCCACCACGCCCTCGCATCGAAGACGATCGAGAACAATCGAGAGGAGTATAAACACACCAGTTCGCCCCGATCCGCAACTAAATTCAGCACAAAAAGGGCACTGCTGACAGTTATCTGCTAATAGCATTAAAGTACAACGGTCTTTCGCACAACTACCTGCAATGAACAGTAATGGGACCATCCTGTCCAAATTGATCCTTTGTCTTGTGTATTTGAGTAATGAAATTTGTAAATGCTTCACAATTGCTAGGCACACCGATCTCTGGCCATTCAGTGTACTGGAATTGACGTACAGTACGAGAGATGCCGTCCCTCGTATCTGTCACCTTGAACTCTCTCAGTGTGTATGTGGGCATGTTATACTCCACCATTGGGTCGATTACGAAATTCTGATACCTGGCAGATCGTTTCGATGGCCAATAGGGATAAGAATGCTCCTGCAAATTTATCGACAAAGTGGAGTTGAATATGTTTTGGTCAAAGATTTGATTTAATCCGTGGAAAATCAACTACTCACTTTGCCCTGCTCCGTCGCTTGACTGATCATCACAATGATGGCGGAATTGTGCTCCCAACACATACGCCAGAAATCTTCCAGGGTTTCAGCCATCGGCCCCTGTGTGGCGATATACGCTCTGCGTGCCCGATAGCTGTCGACAAAGCTGGCATTTATGTAGTCTGAGCCGTCAACACCTCGTAGCGGTGTTAGAGCAACCCGCGATTTCTCATAGGGCAGAACTTCAAAGTAACGGTTCTTGCATTTATTGGGAGCAAGCAGTGCAGAAGTGAAGCTTGCTTTCGGCAGGAAAAAGCTCTCCAGTTTCTAAAGCATAAGTACTTCTTCGTAGACACAATTTTTACTTAAATTCAACCAAGTAGACGCGGTTTCAAACCCAATTACTCACCTTGAATTCAATATCAAATCCACAGTAGCCCATGCCATCAGGTTGTAGGAGGGAGTTGTACTGAGCACAGAGACCTCTGGCCGGCACTTCAGTGTAGCCACCCTCGGCCATTTCCAGAAGAGCATCATACACAAAGATGTACTGCTCTTCCGTTTGAACCATGAAGTTTCGTTGCGCCCTTAGCGCTGTCACGCAACCGAGAACGTCCACCGCGTTTTCGTACTTCATTTGATCGTGCATAATGCCCAAGGCAATCAGTGCCCCTGTGGAAGAAGACAGCTGTCATATTCAGGGTGCCAGTTAAAATCAAATTCCCCCCTTCTTTTCCAATTTTAAGAGTTAAGTTAAAACCACTTAGTCCTGATTCACCAAATGTTTTTCATTTTCTCATGTGTACATCAAAGGCATTTATCTTACCAGTTCTACCTACACCAGCGGAGCAGTGAACCACCAAAGGTCCCGAAATCGCCGCATCAGAATCACTGGAAGCCAGAGAAGTGGAGGCAGCCCCACCTGGGATGAGTGACACCGACTCCCCTCGACTGCCCTGCGTGGAGACAGCGCGTCGAATTCGTCGCATGAAAAGGAGCAACGGGATGGGTGGACTCTCGGGCACTCCATGGTCGGGCCAGCTGGTGAATTGGAGGTGAGTGACCTCCCTCACCTCGTTACCGCTGCAGTGGGCAATGGTAAAACGACGGATGGTGAAGTAGGCCAGTTCAATCATGCCCTCTGGACTCGGCAATGGAACAACCGTGATCGCGCCATTAGCGTAGGTCTCAGGTCCTCGTGACGGCCAGTACTGATCACACTTGATGCGAGCTCGCTCCTCCAGACGGGTCATCATTACGATGATGGACACACGTTGCTCCCAGATCATGCGCCAGAAATCCGAGTAGGTCTCTGGCAAGGGTCCCTGAAACATCGTTGATAAAACAATTTTTACTATTTACAAGAATAATTCCGACCCGTAAAGGGATAGTCTCGGAAAATTCCACCACTGACCAACTGACGATACCGACCAATTCACCATGTAGATGATGTCCTACATTCATGTGGAAGCCTAATGGGAATTTCAATGTTTATAGAGGTGCATTACTATTTTCACTTAGGTGGCATTGGACAAGTACGCAATTATTTTATTTAAAAAAATTATTTATACGATCATTTGTAAACATCCTACCCTTCAACATTGGTTTGGTTCGGAAAAAATTATAACCAATCTATAACTTGTAGTAAGGATGTTGCTTTCTTTTATGAATAAGGCACGTTGAGTGCAATAACAGCTCTACTAAATTTTGACAACCTTCGTTTTGAATGCTACTGATGTCAATTCAAGTAGTACTGGATGTGTGCTGGCAAAAAAATTGACAGTTCTCAAGTGGAAGTAGAGAATGTGGCGGTTATTCGTATCAGTGTTTGTGAGGCCTATAGCTTCTTGTGTAGCATTCAGGGAAGGTTCCATAGCAAAACTTGCCACCCCTCGAAATGGACGACAGAATCTGTGTCCAGTAAAGGAATCACTAGAATCGGGAAGACTTTCAAGCTCTGACTATAAAATGTTACGAAATTAATGTGCTCGAGTAGTGAAGTAATTTACTTGTAAATCCATCAACTGAGAATGTCACCGAAGCTAAGCAAATGGAACGCTTTCCCAAGCCACTTGTACAGGAAATACTGCTGGCCTAGATAACCACCAAAATCTGAAGTGATTAGGTATGTATCAAACAAGTCAGGTTGATCCGGCCTCAACGACTAGTCTGCAAACACTTCCTTTTCTAAAAGTAACTGAACGGGACACCAGACTCCCGGCCATTAATTCGCATTCAAGACATTTAAGGAACAGGTTTTTTTATCTCCCAAATGTTACCAGACATAAACATGCCTCCAACGGAAACCTCAATTAAGGGCAACCCCGGCTACCTTCCCCTTTCCTCAACTTTTGATGCGAATGCATATGAGGGCACTCGTCAAGAGATAGCCAATCACTTGCAAGGGATTTATTTTCCTTCTTCAAACGCCGACCAATCAGCACGCTCCAATGGATCTCCAGAATTTGATCGATGGAAAAAAATAGCTTCAACAATTAGACTATAAAATGAGAGGAGGTCTATCAATGCCATTTTAAATTTACCATTGCCCCTTTGATTATTTATTGCCCCTAACAATTTGTTCCGACAAAATTTGATTCTTTTGAGCAACTTTTCTCCGGTTGAAAGGTACGAGGTTCTCTCAAGGCGGTTCCACCGGTTTCGCAATGAGAAATTCGGAAATATTCGACCGATAAACTAGTGACTTTCCTACCCTAGGGTATTCATGAGCAATAGCAGAGTAAACAACTTAAAAAGATTTCCTTGACGTTGATTACATCCGAGGTAATGCTGGGAGACTTCGTGTTATCGCAGCCCCCTTTTTTCGCCCTGCTTGACATCCAATCTTCGCCAACATTACTTGCATCTCCTCCTTTTATTCCCCATACAGTTGCTTTTAGATTTTAGCAAATCATTCAAATTTGCCCTTTTTTCGTTGTTTGTGTGGGAATAACGTTTCACTAGAATTGGATATTATTAAAAGTATTAATGCTTATGGAGTAAATCCTCTTTTAAACTCCTAAAGTACCGTTGTTTTTTCTACAAGGAGAAAAGCAGTAAATGGAGGCTACCGCCTAATCACCTGACCATTTCCTTCCCATAAATATGTCAGTTTAATGTGCTAATATTCCTGTGATTTGTGGCTCAGTTGTGGGCAGTTATGGAAGCATTTTAATTTCGCCTAGTGGATGTTGAAAATCCTGCGTGAGTCAAGTGATCGCTGCATGCTTCCGCCTCCGTGCGTTATACATGCGCTCCACTCTTCTGGCATCAAAAAGTCGACTTCCGTTAAGTGGTTCCACAACACTAATGATTCGAGTGGACATTTTTGGATAAATGTATACCGGAAATCATCTACACATTTCCTGTTCTCCTTCTTTTCGATACCCCTTCGTGCATAACTCAGGCGTGGAACTCACCTGTGTGGCAATATAACAGTTGGGCTTTTTATACCCATCGATGTAATTCGCATTTATGTAGTCCGAACCGGGAACGCCTTCGAGAGCTCGCAGAATGACCCGCGAGTGATCGTAGGCCACGACATTGGCATATCGATTCTTCGCCTTGTTGACCTCCAAGTTGGAGTTCTCCCAGGTGAACTGGTGGCCCGGATCGATGGACTCGTATTCCTGCGAGAATAGCCGATTATCATCGGCACTCAGCTTTACGATGTGCTCCGCCAAATAGGCAGCAGGAATGGGTCGTTGGGAAGAATGTGAATCTAACGGAGGGAAGAAAGACAGATTGACAACATAGTTCTTAAGTGAGGCTCAACTTTCTCTTGGGCAAACACTGAGCCTTACTTTCGCAACTATGCGTGCATTCGTCTTCCCTTTTGTTTTGCCTTTTTCCCAAAGAGCGAGAATCAAATTATAGCCACTTCCACCGCCTCCACCTCCACCCACACCCCCACGCTCACATGCGCTGCTTCATTTTTCATTCATCAATTCTTTGGATAATTTGTTTTTCTCTTTAGATTAAAACAAAGGCACAAAAGTAGAAGAGGAAAATCTTTTTTTAGCCACTTGAACGTGGGAAACTGTCAAAAGTGAGAATTTCAAAGTAGTTCAAGCATCAAGCGTTCAAAGTGTTTGCCTTGAAGTTGAAGGGAAGAAAAGTGGTTTAAGAAGACAAATTGGTGGACAAGGCAGTCCATTCACCACATCTCAATAGATGTACTCCTGACTGAATGAATACACAAATGGTGTCAGTCATTAATAGAAGAAACATCGCACTATAGTGTCTCGTGTAGCCTGGCAACTCCCTCGCTTTGAATGAAGTTGAGGTATTCACTAGAGGAGGAAGAAATTCAAACTGCATCGGGCTATGGGAAGGTTAATGGTGCTAACCAAATGAGAGGGGACCAAGGAAGGATAGGGAGGATGTTTTAACTCGCCTAGTAATCTCTTTGTGCTCAGGAGTTACTCCATATCCTTCAAATGCAGTCCCTCCGTCCGTATACAGAACATCATGGAAGCATGACTCATGATAAACAAGAAAGACGGGGAAGGGAAGACGACAACACCAGCGACAAAAACAAGAATGACAGTGTAATGGCAGATTTCAATTGTTTTTACAATACTCTGGAATTTCACCGTAGCAAAACGCCCAAGGCACCGTGCAGGTGCATTTCTTTGGAGGTGGAAACGATTAGAAACTTCTTGTCTTCTCACACAGTGATTATGTAAAGCAACTCAATGCATGAAGTTAATTTTTCTCCCTTTCTCCATGTTGATGGCGTATTTCAAATCATACAGTATCCAATCTCCAAATAATAACGCACTGTTTCCATAAAAGAGGTGCTGCAGTTCCACACTGTTGGCATCCTCCGCAGTGGCAGCATCATTGGCGAAGAGACCTCGGCTGGAGCCATCGCCAAGAGATGCGATTTTCGAGGCTAGCATGTGACGATTGAAGGTGTTGTAGGGACCACCGCCTCCCAGTCGTGAGAGACCCCCGTTGAGACGTGGGGAGGTGGGATAGACGCTGCAAGAGACGCTGCTTCCGTCCATCAGATCGCCTTTGTTGTCCTCGCTCACGGAGGGAAAGAGAGCTCCCATGGGTGGTCGAGTGCCGCTACCACCACCGCCGCCACCAGACAGGCCCGAGGACGAGTCGGAGCGATAGGGATAACTACTCCGTGGAAAACTGTTGACATGCGTGGAGGCTGTGGGATCCTAAAGGGTTAAAAATTTAGTTGGTCACTGCTATGCAATTGTAAACGCCGCTGAAAGATAAGTGAATGTCATCGTTTGATCTGTGGATCCTACCAGACAAGTTTACAGGATGATTTTCCTCAAACAACATTATAAGTGGAGGCGATAAATGGGTGATCAGTTAGGCGAGGCTGTAATAACGAACACCCGAAATAACCAAGGGGTTCAATTCTTGACTGAGTATGTCACTAACTGGTTACTGGGGTACAGAACCCACCTGAGTGGCATTATGATAGGTCACACAAGTTGGAGGCATCCCAATGAGCTGTGTGTAACCAGGTGGAGACATCGAAAGCGCCCCATTGTTGGCACAAATTGTTCCCGTGATTGGTGGAGCGCAGTTGTAAAAGGCTCCGGCTGGTGCCTGCGAAGACGCCACACCGTCAGCCACATTCATCAGAGGCTGCTTCAGACTCTGATCCAGATTGGTCGGCCGCGCCAAGAGCTTGGGCTTCCGACGACGTCTTTAGGCGAAAAAAGTAGATCCATATACACCCCATTTTTTGTCTCTACATCCAAACTGACGTGGTCTCACTATTCGGTCATGAAAACACGCTACCACTTAACGCAACCACATTCATAGACTGCTCTTTTAATTGGTGGGAAACTCCTTCTTTTACACAAATTTGGAATATTCACTAAAATATTTCGAACACATTTCGTTCTCCTCCGCTACCCAAACAGGAGGAAATTTGAAAAGAACCTATTGCAGAGGATTACCTTAGAAAAACGGATGGTGCAAAAAATGTACGATGAATACACTCCTGGAAAACTCGTCAATTCCACTGAACTGAAAGGTGTTTTGTGAAGAGAATGTACAAACATTTGCTAGTCCTTTTTTTCTTCTTTGCCTCCTTTTTTTACGTAGAATCTTATCCCCATCACCGCTTAATCTCATCGTCATGTCAAAGCCTCCTTGACGATTGGGGAGAACGTTTTTACTCTGGAATAATTTTATGATTTTACAGTCAAAGTTAGTTTATTCGTAAAAGATTTGAGCTGTTGCGAGTAGACAAACAGGAGGCCCTCCTGGTTGCGAAAGGTGAATTAAGGGCTTCAATTTGATTAATCTGATGATCCGTGAGGAAGCAAGTGAGGCAGTTGTTTAAATACGATGTTAATTCAACTGAACATTTGGCTTAGTGGTTTCTTCGAGTCTACAGCGATCAGGCTACCGATCGCCTCGTCCTTATGGAAGTGTACAGCAGACCTTTTCGCAGACTGGTATAAGTGAAAGGGCCCAAATGCTTACCTAAAAATGCAAACCAAGACGGTGCAAATCGTGGTGACCACTGCAGCCCCAAGGATGACAGCAACAACTGACACAGTGTAGAGGTCAGTTGAGCCAAATGCCAAGGCGCCATCACTTGTGGAGCCCACGGTGGGTGATATGTGACCCGAGGGAGCCCTTAATTCCAAAAGGGCTGGAAGGTAGGGATCTGTCGCAAATGGAGGTGACCACGGCGAGGCTGTACACGTTCCAAAACCGTCCATTGTCGATCCGTTGCCTTGGAAGGTGCATGCTAGCACTAGAGCCTAGGTGAATGAAAAAACGAGGCTCAAGCTGGAATTTCCACTAATGTCCAGTGTGCAGAACAAGGTAGTCGCTTTCAAAGCTCGTTATTTCTCCTCGTTTGTTATCCTAAATGTAGATACTTGTGTCAGCTGCTTCTTGTTCACTTAAGGACGGAATCAGCAGACAATTTTAGGCACCGACATGTCTAATTAGTGTGGGGCGTTACCGTATTTTGGGTCCCAGCCTATAAGGACGTAGAAAGTACTACCTTGATCCAGACCACTTATTGAAGACAAATTCAGTGAACACAAGCCGCCGACTTGAAGTTGGGCACTAACTCGTCCAGTAGTTAGCCAACACCATTGCGTCACATCCATGCGAAGATCCCCTCTCCACTTAACAAGGACAATCGTGCGAAATATATTACGTGGGATCGTTGAAGTAGCTTCCAAGGCTGTTGCACCTCGATTTCGGGAAGTAATAATTTTCACGGATGAGATTTGGGTGGACTTCAGTGCAGATGACTAATTCTTATATTGAAATTTAAAATTTTTGTCAGTTTTTGAAATGTACGTAGATTATATTTCCAAGTAATTTTGAGCTTAACCGAATCAGATATTTAGTAATTGCCTATTTTACTTTGGTTGTCACAAATCGCGCCTATTTTCGAAAGAACATTTTATGTGATTCAAGGAAGCGTGGTAAATACAAATGATGGCAGTGTAAACGCCATGGATGCAAAAATGTCGGTGGATAAAATGGTCATGGAAACCGCCAGCCTTACACAGTAGACCTGTCCAGCTTCGAGTGGCTTGTTGTCAAATACAACAGCAGCGTCCAAATAGGCAGCAGCTGCAGCCGACGCCTCATCCACCGAGCCGGCATCATTGAGGAGCCAACTTTGTTGCGAGTTTGCTGAGTAGACTTTGCCCCGCACCACCGCGGGACTGCGACGTCTACGCTGCGCAAACGGTGGTGGCGGTGGTGGTGGAGCAAGGGTGGGAGAGGTGATTCCATTGCTTCCACCCAGAATAAAGTCTCGAGAACTCGTTCCCGCGGGTTCAAAGTAATCCTGTGTAAAGCGGGCCGCAATGTAGCGTGTTTTTGTAGATGGCAACTTCCGTGAAGACGCAATTATCTAACAAAACAAAAGATCCAGCATGGGCGATGCCTTCAAGTCTAGTTCGCTAGGGTATGTACCATACTGATACACACAAGCTACTGCGTTTTTAGTGGCACGTCGTAAAGCTACCCTTAATGAAGTCTTTTGTTAAGCTTTAGGTTAAAGTTAAAGCCAAAGTCTGGCCATTTTTTAAAAGAATTTACATATATAGAGTCCCCAGACTCTCACCTCCCAGTTGTCCTTAAGTGGTGAAACGGCCCTGACCTCCGTTTGAAGCACACTTGGCTGGTAGTATTAAACGTCCACTCAGTAGATTAAACCCTCATCATTTTGTAAAAAAAGTCAGGTAATTGTAAAACGATCTGGCAATTTATCTGCTTTAACCGAGAGCTTACCTATTCATCACCATCTAGTCAATGCAGATTGCCATGTCAAGAAGTCTACCTAGGAAGCAGGTTTAAACAAATAAAATTTCCTCGTCAATTAGAAGAAGGTGTGATTTATTGCTACAATCGCCTTTCCATAATCACAACACCGTTACATAACACAGGAAAGGCACCGATGATTGTATCCACTTCTTCATATGGCACCAGAAAAAAATAATTTGCTGGTGCTATTTGACTTTTCACATATTTTTTCTGAGAAATCAGCCAAAAAAAGTAAAAAGTGGGTCCACTCTGCCCATTTATCCCCATACTAGAAAATGTCCGTGTGTGCGTGCGTGACGGACATTGTCAAGATTGACACAAGCAACACAGCCTTGACGGACGTCTTAGAAGTTGACAAGAGTTGTGGAAACTTAGTTGTGTTTTAGCTTATTTATTCTTATCATTTTCCCCTCCGTATTCCAACTGTTCCTCCTCTTCCTCCTCCATCCTCTTTCCGTCAGAGCCAACTGGGTAAAATTTTATCTAAGGAAAGGAAGCCACTGAGACTGCAGCTCCGTAAAATGAGGCATTCCAAAATAGTGCCTGTCAAATGTAGGTCTTTAGTGTTAATTTGCTCGAGTATTATAAAGCGGTCACGGTTATTAATGGGAAAATTTGATTGAAGAGTTTAAAGCAGGACATTTTACCTCATCAACTAGAAGCATATCCAGCGGAGCGGTTGTGAGATGCCATGGGCTAACCATTATGTAGTACTGACGAATTTTACCCAGTCGTTCACTAACTCGAAACACCTTCATATTGACCTGCTTCCGATCCTCTAAGGCTGAAATGGGTAGGGGAGGAGCGACCTTCTCTGGTTCTAAAATGAGCAACATATGCAAGATCATCGAACAGAGGGAATTCAAATTTGTGATCCAAGGTGATGACAGGACAGTAAAGTGTGAAAATGCAACATGACTGCTGGAGGAAGGCGTGAAACGATTGAAGCCTACGCGTCGTAGATTTATGTGGGTTGACAGGCAGTAAAAAAATAGGTTTTGTGACTATGGCAATGACCTAGGTAGCAGTTTACATAGTATTATTAGCAACTCCTAATGGCACATTTGATCACTTCGTTGCTGGAATGTGGTAGGCCAACGTGCTGACAGCTGCATAGTAACCACACCACACGTAAATTACGATGTCAAGTTCACTGTGAAGTGACCACACTTGCCCCTTTACTCAGATGCGACCATCAATGAAAGTTTTTTTTTGAGTACCCATTTGATTTTAAGTTTAACCTAACTGTGCGCACATTTCAAGCCGCAGGAGTTCCGTTGGACTTAACTTCCGGTCCAAGAAATGGGTGTGTTTAGGCCCAAGTGTGCACACAATCTATCTCCACTTCTCAATATTTAAAGGCGGACTGTTAGTTGGGTGTGAAACCCGATTGAAGGACTTACTTTGCATTTCGGTGTGACAACTTGTGGTCTCCCAATTGCTCTCGAGATTCATGCCAGTCTCATAATAGGCATTGACTTGGATGTCGTAGATTGTATTCGGCTCCAGATCCTTGACAACATAGTCGTAGCCGTCCTGAGCGTCGAAGTGGGCCTGTCGAGCACTTCTTGGATCGAATGTTTGTCGTCGCATAACACCAGACTCGTCGGCATATTCCTTTGAACCAGATGCTCGTATCTGAAATGGTTGTTTCAAGTCACACTCACGCCCCACAAAAAGGTGCATCTCGACAAACTGTGTCTTAGATTTTCCCACTATTCTAATCTAATTGCTACAGGACAAAGAAGACCGAATTGGGAGACCCCTCCACGTTATTTGGACCCTGTCACCCTACATTTCAGCCGACTTTCGATACATCCAAAAGCAACACTACTACATTCTGTATTTTCCATTTTAAACTCATTGCTGACCATCTGCAAGAATCCCATCAACTAATGTGAACTGAAATAAGTCACAAAAAGTGGGTGCGTGGGCCAGCCACGTTTCAACACCCACCGCCTCAGCAACAACGTGTGTTTCTATGGTAGGACATTTGACTACTTTGGGGATTTCGGAGTCCACAGAAGAATACTCCAATGCATTCGCTTTACTTAGTCGGATCTAACAACCCTGATTTTCTTCTGCAAATCCCTAAAATGGTAAAAAGGCTGAAGGACTAGAGTGGGCATGCAATAGGTCTCACTTTCGCATCATGCATTTCGGTAGTGTAAACTCAGTCATAAAAAGTCTAAGACCCCATCATCATAATCATCATAGAGGAAGCTCCCTCACCATCCGCGCTTTAACCAGTGAGTTTTAAAAACTCAAAACATGTAGGAGAACTACCACCCACTAAGCCTGCTTAAATCTCCTGCCTCCACGCACTCTCGATTAAATCAAATCAGCATAAGCGTGTAGTTGAGTGGGAGAGAGAAGAGCAGCTTGGGAGTTGTGACTGTCCATCGCGCGTCTGTCCAACGCCCAAGGCACAATTGCGCACCTAGTGGTGATTGCATTCTGAACGGTGGCTGAGGCAGCAGCAGTAGCAGCAGCGATGATGATGATGGTGATGTGTGGGTAGGGTGGGAAAAGAGCACGAGGAGAAGGGGCATAAGCATGGGCGTTGGCAACATTAGAAAGGCTAACTTGACGCAAACTGCAGCACAGAGCTGCTGGGCTACTTGGCTTTATTACGGTGACTTAAAATAACAGCTACGTCTCAATGATTAGCATTTGTGCCACTCAAAGGTGCCTTGACTTGTAACACCAACAGGAGTAACGAATTTGGCATCACTGACAGAGTATCTTACATTGAAACCAATGAGTCCTTTCGTGTTTTCAGGCCGTTGCCAAGTGATCTTCGCGCTCGTGAGCCCAGGAATGCACAGGAGACCCCGCACGGAGTAATCGGTGCCCCATGTAGCCATGGTGGATCGAGCGACAGCGGGTGGATCACTCCACTCGCCATAGCGACCATCAGGACCTTTGGATTTAACTCGGATAATGTAGGGTGACTTGCTCTGGAGATGGGAAATGATGGCCATCTGGAAGGGCCCCACCTCATATGTGGTCCATCCAGATGAGTCGTAGGGACCATCATTCGGAGCGTAGAGGATCTGAAATCCCTGGATTGCGGCGTGACGGTAGTTGGCGCGAGAATAAGAGGAGGAGGAGAGTCGAGTGGTTGAGGCATCGACGACCTCGGGCATTCGCCAGGTCACCTTGATTTGGTGTTGATTGATGCGGATCGCTTGCACATCGACTGGCGGTGGAGGTCCTAT